ATGCTAGATGTGCTTACAGCCATAACCAAAACTTCAGTCTTGTTTCAAAATAAAGATTTGTCGATGTTTGAGGTGAAGGAAGCTGTAGATACATTGTACATGTGTTTGCATGCAATGACCAATGAACCAGGTGAACACTTGTCCAAATTCTACAGCTTGTATGATCCTGAAACATCCCTGTTTGATGGTAAATTTAAACTGAATGGGTCTCTTAGTGACTTCAAAGATGACAATGACATTCACTGTTTATTTGATAAAATCAGTCAATATGTTCTAGAAAGATTTAAGGATCTTGAGAACCCTCCATTGAGTCTGTACAGGGTATTTGACTTCAGAAACTGGCCAAGTTCACTTACTGAGCTTAGCACATAATTATGGTTGTAAGGAAATTAAACTGCTGTGTGAGCACTGTAATGATTTGTTAACAGAGGAAGAGGTTCTCTCTATTCCAAGTGAATGGCAGACTCTTAAAGTTCAGGTATCCTTGCAAAGAACTAATCACCCCCTTGCAGTATATACATCCATACTGCAAAGAAAGGAAGATTCTGTTAAACACATCAGTGCTTTGCTGCAGGTTTTGCTCACAATTTCTCCCTCCACTGCTGCCTGTGAGAGGCTTTTTTCTCAAATGAATCTTATCAAGAGCCCTCTTAGAACTCGCCTTACCCAAGAAAACCTGCAGAGTCAAATGAGAATTGTTGTCTCTGGTCCAGATTTCTCCATTTTTGACCCTTTACCTTCTGTTGAAGAATGGCTTAAGTCTGGTCATAGACACATACGTCATAAGCCACCACAAAAATCAGCCACTTTGACCTCTGAAAGCATAGCCTCCACATCTACCCAGGCAACTATTGAGATGGATAGCATACAGCCCATGTTAAGTGAAATTGTGAAAACCCTAGGTGGGGAAGACATTGCAAGGGAAAAACTGAAAAATTTGACTGATAACTAGGGTTTCTTAATCGGACAAAAATCATAATCGATCATCGAAAATAATCGAACAACCCTTTTCGATCAATCATCGATTATATAATTGAAACATTTACATTAACAAAGTAAATATGTACAATGTACATATCATGCTTTAATATTTATAAGAATTCCATTTCCATGTAACCACCACTTTATCAACTGAAATAAATTAGTCTTTAAAGATATACTATGCTCATCCTTGAGTAAAATATTTTAGTCAAATAAATTCATTAAAATCTATGAAATTATTATGTCTCACTTCCAAAAAAGGAATGAATAAACTATGTATGGGAACAAGTTAAGTTGGTCCTTTCTTAACAAAACTGTTTTAATGACACTATATATTGATATTGCACCAACCTTTAGTGTGTAGAATAATATCATACATAACATATCTTCTTTGGTTGAAATCAAAACATGTTTATTCTATATTTACAAATAGACTGTGTAGCAATTTTAAATATTTTCTATGTCAAATTTTATCATAGTACATGTATATCTTTAAACTAGCATATCTCACTGTCAACTATTTATTAACTCCATGGTCACCAGTATGCTTTCATATTCAAGGCCATCCTTAAAAAAAATGATCGTTTGCAGTAACGCGACCGACTCACAAAATTTGCCCCTACTCAAATTTTTTTTTCATGGTCTGGATAAAAAAAATTTTTTTTTTTTTAATCAGAAAATTATGCCAAGTGCTTTGTTTTCGTTCTTTTAAAGGTTAATAGGAGAAGTAAAATGTAGGTCTTATTAAATTAGATTTAGTTATCAATTTATTAATTGTTACCAGATTATCAAAGCATATTGTCCAGCATTTTTGAAATTCCATGTTTATTTGGGAGCACAGTTCAATAATGAAAAAAAAAAAAAAAAATCGACCTACCTACCCACCTTGAAAATTCTGGGTCGGGTTACTGCAAACAAACATTTTTTTAAGGATGGCCCAATTGAATGAAAATTTTATAATACAGTGAGTCAGTCTTAAGAAACAGCAAGAAAATAAATTACCGATAATCGATTATTAAACTTTGTAATCGATCATCGCCGATCGGTTCTATAAACGATCAATTTTCGATTATACTCGATCATCGTTTAATCCCTACTGATAACCCAACTAACGCCTGTGCCTTAATGTAACCCAGGATGTGTTTAACAGAATGTTCTAGTCTATAGCATGTTTACCATGATTCTATTGACAATATGTTCACATACACAATAAAAAAGTTCTGTTTAAATAATGTTTGCTTTCAACTCTTGTATAATTGTTCATTTATAACTGTACAAACATGGTAGTAGTTATGAAAATGTTTAGAAAAAATGTTTGTCTAATAAAGCCATTGAAATAAACCTGTTTTTCACTGTTTATTTGGGCAAGTCAACTTCAGCTGCGGACAAGTAGAAATTTCAGTCCAACTTGTCCGTGGGCAAGTGGAAAAAAATCAAATTTCCACACCCCTGCCCAAGACTATCCCAAGACACCTAGTTACTCTCCTGAGATTATCTCCTACAGGATCGTATATTTATAAAACTTTTCCAATTTATAAGTTAATTTCCATTAAGAAGATTCTTAGGATGTCTTGCGGTAGGGCCTAAAAAAAAAAATTGTTTTGTTCGGGTCACCCGACCCTACCTAATAATATGCGCCGACCCTACCGTTTTTTTCGTGTCCAAAAAAAAAAAAAAAAAATAATAATAAAAAAAAATCCATGAAAATACCGTATTATTGAGGTACTCAATGAGCAGTGTGAAGGGCAATTCAGGCGAAAATTTCGCTGTGTATATTTCCATTTCGCTCTCCCAATTGATCAAAGAGAAGTCAACATCGCCGATAAAATCTTAATTCCCAAAGAGTAATTACTTGCCGATGTAAAGAGCAGAGATTGTATCCGCCCATATGACGACTGCTTATTATCATTATCCAATCAGAGCATCGCTATATACTACCCCTCTACCTGTATGCAAAGCGATAGACCGCCTACTCTAAACAGTAAATAATGAGAGCATCGACCCGAAACGGGTATATTTTGCGAGTTTAAAACGCGATTTGGCAATAATTATAGATTAATTTTTTTCCGATCATCTAAACACGTGCAAATCTTCCCTAATTGATATACACGCGGTGTTTAACCGAAGTAAAGGCGATGTCCAATGGGTTTTTCACGGCTATCACAAAACTGTTAGTCAATTCGCAAAAATCTTATGATTGGTATGTTGTAGACAGTGAGAGTGTTTTGCATTGTTATCTTTGTAGAAATGCCAAATTTGACACAGCTTGTACGCACGTGGGCACGACATCCTAAAACTAGGAATCATGATCGGCATGCGACATATCGGTCGTATATCATGTGCTCATGTATATAACAACAAAATTTGCCAGGAAAGAAGTGTTCTTATTGTTTTAATATATATATATTTGTTTTAATGTCATAAATATGACGCTCAGATTAAGATTTATTAATATTGTAAATTTCAAAAAGCTTTATTTATAAAGATATTACCGAGTTTAACATTTCATGAAAATAAAGGGAGGTAATTAGAAATTTATTTTCTATAATTTCTCAGTCGAATTTTTCAATAAGAAATGAATGTACATAATTTTAGTGATCAAATATAATGTGCACAAATGATTGCAGTACATATTTTACATATTCTTCGATATTTGAAAATTGTTTTATAAGCATAATTATATGCACATAAATATGACAATACAACAGAGAAGATCATAAAAGAAATTTCTGTAAACAGAACAGGATAAACAGATTTTATTAATCATTATCCAATGTAACTTTATCTGGAAAGTAAAAATATAAAGTTAATTTATTCATCATAGTTTTCTTACACATTATTATCAAAAATATATGAGAAAGCTTATAAAGCTGACAAAAAGATTGTGTTTCTATTCTAGTTAAAGGATGTATAGCCATGCATGTTAATGCATAAACATTGGGATGTTTCCCTTCTGCCGATTTTTCACGAGGAAGTCACTTCTCCCTAAAATTTCCCCCCAGGATGAGCCCTGGGTACGGTACAGGTTTTAACGCCGCTCTTAGTTACAAAATGGCGGATCACATCGTCAATATTTGTAAAACGGCGTGTGATCTTCACCAGAAGAACGCTGAGAGTTTAAGATTGTTACACCTGAAATGTCTTTTGAAAACATAGAAGGGATGTATTTGTGCCACCCGGGAGGGATGTCAGAAATTTCCATATCTAAATTTCAAAAAAAAAAAAAAAAAAAAAAAAAAAAAAAAATCCGACCTACCCTACCTATTCCTTGAGAGCATGTTACCCTAACAAAACAATTTTTTTTTTTAGGCCTAAGTATTAACTTGTACATCTATTTCATTAATGAATTATATAAACACATATGTACACATTCAGTAAGTCTCACTTACATATGGCATCTTCATAACTGCATAAATAAATGATTAACACTTGTAACAATTTATAACTTCAACATTAACTTGATTAAGTAATAATGAAAAGTTTAGCAAATTTACTAAATTCTAAACTTTATGATTTAGTCCAATTTTACATAAATGCCATAATGTCTTCTTAGTGAATAAACATTTCACTAAGCAATATAATAATTTTATCAGAGCATAACATTTAATAACATGTGACATTTAATTATATAACTATCAGTCATACCATAGACTCTACATCATTGCCCTAATGTTCTCTTATTTAATAAATATTTCAATAAGCAATACATGTATAATAATCTCAACAGAGCATATAAAAATTAACAACATTCATTTACATACCCATCAATCATACCACTTGTGTTATAAAGGAACACAAAATTTGTGTTCTTGCTTAATTAAGAAAGTACTACACATACATGTAGTATGTTAAAATTTATTTAATCATAAATGTATGAAAATTCCTTAACGGTTATTTATTATTTAAGGTATTTCCTGTCAATAATATTTGTTATTAACTTATGCAATAACAATTTAATATAATAAATCAATACTTACTATGTAAACTATGCTAATGAAAATTTACAATTTGTTTTTATTGTTTAAAGCTACTGTTTAAAAACATTAATAAAAAATATTCTTTACTTACTTCAATAGGTACAATTGAAATGTGACTGTTAAGCAATAAAGAGGAAAAATCTTACACATCATTTGAGGAAAAATTAAGGTATTGTATACATATAATTTAAAGTAATGATATTTAAGTTATATACTTAATAATTAATTACAATCTTCATCTGTTCTTCTTCTGTATCTTGGGTAATTTTCATATATATATTCCACGCGAAATTACATGTGAAGAACACATGACATATCTGTATAATTATAATTCATTTTCTGATATTTTCTTTGGTGTTTACATGTATTAATTAACATGACATTTCTTTTTATTTAATTCAATTTCTGATATTTACTTCTGTTACTTGATGATGATATCTGGATATGACTTATCTTTTATTAATTTCAAAATAGTCCTATTAGTTTTTCTCTTTTTTCTGTAGCTATTTTCAACAATTTTAGTAGACCATAATATTTACACTCAAGAATTAGTTCTTTCAGTTCTATTTTGTTGTTTGGTAACAGAGAAGCTGGTGTAAGTTCACCTTGTCGGGTATATCGGAGATGTTGAAGTATTGTCCTGAAATTTTTACTGTCCCGATCAATATATATTTCTTCATTATCAATCTCTAATGCGATATTTTTCAGCAAGCTTTCTTCCGCACATAGCGTTCCTCTTGTTGTAGAATATTTTATTCCTCCTACATTCAAAATTATTATTTCTTGGTGTTTAATTTCCTCGAGTTTCTTCTTCATTTCTTTTTCTGTTTTTTCTGTTTCCTTATTTTCAACTGTTTTTTCTACTCTTTTCTTTGTCATACTTTTCTCTTTTCTTTCTCTCTCCAATTTTTCTCTTTTCTCCTTCTCTTTTTGTTCATTATCTAGCCTTTCTTTTTCTTCTTTTTCTCTTCTTTCATTTTCTATTCTTTCTTTTTCTTCTTTTTCTTTTCTTTCTCTGTCCAACTTTTCATTTTCTAGCCTTTCTTTTTCTTTTCTTTCATTTTCAAGTCTTTCTCTTTCTAGCCTTTCTTTTCTTTCATTTTCAAGTCTTTCTTTTTCTTTTCTTTCATTCTCTTTTCTTTCATTATCTAGTTTTTCTTTTTCTTCTCTTTCTCTCTCCAACTTTTCATTTTCTATTCTTTCTCTTTCTTTTCTTTCTCTGTCCAACTTTTCATTTTCTAGCCTTTCTTTTTCTTTTCTTTCATTTTCAAGTCTTTCTCTCTCCAATCTATCATTTTCTAGCCTTTCTTTTCTTTCATTTTCAAGTCTTTCCTTTTCTAGCCTTTCTTTTTCCAACTTTCCTCTTTTCTCCTTCTCTTTCTGTTCATTTTCCTCTCTTTCATCTTTTCTTAATTCTTTTTCTATCACATCTGTAGCCATTCTTATTTCTTCCCTTTCCTTTAGCCTCATTTCACTAATCCTTCTTTCATTTTCTCTTTTTCTTCTTTGTTTTTCTCTTTCACTGATTTCAATTGTATTATTCTCTTCACAGATCTCTCCCACAACAAGGGCTTCTAATGTCGCCATTTCTATTTCAGACGAGTGTGTGGAAGATGACGTAGAAGATGATGATGACGAAGATGTTGTTGATGTTGCAGAAGATGATGATGACGACCTTGATGATGATGGTGATTTACTTCTTACTCTTTTTTCATTTGGTGTTACAAAGTCATTTTTTCTTTTTCTAATGTATAATTGTGGTCTTGTTGCAATTCTTTTTGTGGGCGAATGATTTTCTTTGTTGTATCTATTATCAATTATTAATTCATCTATCTTTTTAATAAAGTCTTGAAGACAGGCTTCGGCCTCAGCCCCACGTTGGCCAGTGGTTGTATGAAATCGAATGAAGTCTTCCCTTCTTGTATGACACGACTGACCTGGTGTGTTTCTCAAAAACACTTTACCACACCTTGTACATTTAAAGTTTATCTTTGAGTGCTGTTCAATTAGGTGAGCTCTACATTTACCCTTAGTAGTAAAGTGCATGTCTCCACATGTACGACATGTAAACCGTTTCTGCAAGAAGACAAATACAACAATTTTAGTTATTAAAAAAAAATGTTTTAGCTTCATGTATACCATATTTATTATATATTTATATATTTACAGATTAGTGAGAACCTGATTTGTTTGTGGAAACATAAGGTATCAAAGTAAGTATATCATTATTTCATTGTGTTCTGAACTTATTATTAGCTGTCATAAGGCTTCAATTTATCCTTATGCACAACACGCGGTTTCTCTCTAGAACCACCCTGAATGCGGAACAGGATGTCACTTATTTTAGTTACTATTACATAAGGACCTTTCCATGGTCGTGTAAGTTTACCACTGCGACCAACTTTTCTCTGAGGATTGTAATACCAGACACGGTCACCCTCGAAATACTGTATTTGATGACTATTAAGATCATATTTCTTTTTCATGGCATCACTAGAAAGTGAAAGCCTCGTTCGAGCAAATTCATGAACTTGAGCTAGCTTAGACTCAAGTTGAGCTACATAATCTAATCCATATTTTGGTTTTGTTTCAGTTCGATCTATTTCAGGTTTGCCAAAGACTAAATCAATTGGAAGTCGAATTTCAGAGCCAAACATCATGGTTGTTGGTGTGACACCAGTTGACTCGTGCACAGACGAACGATATGCCATTAAACAAAAAGGTACAAATTTATCCCAGTCATTTCTATGTTCAGACACAAAAGCAGTTAGCATATTGAGGATACTTCTGTTTGCTCTTTCTATAAAACCTCCACCTTGGGGACGGAATGGAGTATTTCGGGTTTTTTGAATTCCTAATAACTTACAAAGTTCTTGAAATAACTTTGATTCAAATTGGGAACCCTGGTCTGTATGAATTGAGATGGGCACACCAAATCTTGAAATAATGTGTTCAACAAGGGTATTTGCAGCTGTAACAGTTTCAATGTTTTGAAGGGGAATAGCCTCTGTCCATTTAGTGAAATAATCAGAAACAACCATCAAATATCGGTTGTCATTTTCTGTTTTACCTAATGGACCTACAAAATCTATTGCAATTCTCTCCCATCTTTCACCAGAATTAAATTTTTTCATAGGAGCTTTAAATTTCTTAGGGGGCATTTTTCTAGAAGCACATACTAAACATTTTTTACACCACATTTCTACATCTTTTCTTTGATTATACCAATAAAATCTTTGTCTGACCTTTTTCAAAGTTTTCTTAATCCCTAAATGACCACTTGTCACAGTATCATGTAACTGTGTCAAAACATACTTAGTAAGACATTTGGGTAAAACTAGTTGGAAATCAACTGTATTTCCATCATCACTCTCCCACTTTCTATACAAAATATTTTCTTTGATAACTAAAGATTCCCATCTATACCAGAAATATTTTAATTCTACACTATGTTCAGAAACACTATTCCAGTCTGGTTTCTCATTTACTTTAAACCAGCTCAAAACATGTTTGATAATAGGGTCTGACTTCTGCAATTCAGCTACATATTCTAAGTTTAAATTTTCTACATCTATCTCATTTTGTACTCCTACCTCACATCCTGTACTAATGTTACTACTACTTGGTTTGCTATCAGCTTGTTTTCCAGTCAAGTCTTTGTCTATGCTTATATTTGTATGGTTATCTGTTCTACTATCTCTATTTGATGGACCAGGTAAACACTCTGTATCTTTAATATTCTTGTCAGATAATGATCTGACCTCTTTAGAATTTAAAGTATTACATTGTTTACTTGATTTTAATCCAATCTTCATGTCAGTTGTATTATAACTAACCCCGGTAGAAGATTGATATTTCACACTACAGTCACTACTCTGGATCGATGCTAAATTATTACCCAATTTTCTATCAACTATCACATCTTGACTAGACATTTCATTATTGTTGCAAGCGTTACTAACACAGATATCGTAAGACCTCTTTACTTGGTTAGCAACTACAGTTTTACTTTTTATCACACTATTTTCTACAGGAATAATTAATTTCTCTGTGGACACAAAAGTTGTCCTATTACACAATTTGAAAAAAATATACAGTATAAACAACACTAGTACTAAAGGTACTTTCATTGCAATAAGCCCAAGAATAACTAATACAGAAAGAAAAGGTAGTTCAGGGCACACATAATCTGACTTGTCATTAAATTTTGTCAACGGTTCATTTGTCACATTAATATTTGTACTACTTGTACAAACTTCTGGTTTGATTTTAACCATATTTTGATCTACAGGTTGTTTTAACTTTTTGTCATGTTTAAGTGCTACTCTAGCAACTGTTAAATTATCATATCTGCTTTCTACTCTATCACAATGTACACAGTTCTCATCATAACATGGTCTCCTACTAAGTGCATCAGCATTGTTATGAACCCTACCAGGTCTATGTACAATTTCATAATCATAATTTTCTAGAATATTTATCCACCTACATAGTTGACCTTCTAGATTTTTGAAATTAGTTAACCATTTTAAACTGGCATGATCAGTTCTGATGGTAAACTTTCGACCGTATAAGTAATGATGAAAGTGTTTTACTGTTGATATTGCACTAAAAAGTTCTTTACGTGTAGTACAATATCCTCGTTCTGATCTAGTAAAGCATTTGGAGTAATACGCTATAACCTTCTCCTGGCCATTTTGTATTTGTGACAAGACTCCGCCATACGCGAAATTACTCGCATCAGCGTCAACTATAAAATAATCATCTGAAGTAGGGAAAGCTAATATAGGACTACTGGTCAAAGCAGCTTTCAAGGTAACAAAGGCCTGTTCACATTCTGTGGTCCACACAAACTTGTGACCCTTTTCTGATAGTGCATGCAAAGGTTTTGCAATAGTTGAGAACCTAGGAATAAACTTTCGGTAAAATGAAACTAGAGAGGTAAAGCTTTTAACCTCCTTACATGTTCTTGGTCTTGGCCATTCTTGCACACTTTTAACTTTATCGGGACATGTTGAAATGCCATCTTCACTTATAACGTGACCTAAGAATGTAACCTGTTTTTGAAAGAGATGACACTTTTTTGGATGTAACTTTAAGCCAGCTTGTCTTAACCTGTCCATAACTTCTTGTAAACGTACCAGGGCTTGATCAAAAGTTTGTGCAAAGACAATAATGTCATCTAAATACAATACTAAAGTATTCCAAATAAGACCTTTGAATACCATTTGCATGAGCCTGGTGAAGACACTAGGACTATTAGAAAGACCAAAGGCTAATTTACGAAACTGCCATTGCTGACCACCTTGCAAGCTAAATGCTGTTTTATGCCTACTTTCTTTATCAATATCGATCTGCCAAAAACCCGATTTTAGGTCACAAACGGAGAACCATTTTGCAGATGATAATGCATCTAAATTATCTTCTATTCTAGGCAGAGGTTGATATTCTTTTACAGTGCAACGGTTAAGTTTTCGAAAATCACAGCAAAACCTGATACTGCCATCTGGTTTTGTTACCATAAGAATTGGGGATAGCCATGGGGAACATGCAGGTTCTATTATCCCATCCTCAACCATTTTCTTAATTTCAGCTTCTGCTGCTTTACGTTTTGCTAGTGGTACACGATAAGGATAGGTTTTTACAGGTTCATGATTACCAGTGTCTATTTTATGTGTAACTAAGTCAGTATGACCAATGTCTCTATCATTTTGTGAAAACACATCTTGATTCTTTATAAGAAACTGTTTTAACTTTCCTTTTTGTATATTATCGAGATGCACAGAAGACCTATCATAAACACTATTTAAATACTCAGGCAGAGTTGTACTACTTACTGCCACATTGGATACATTATTGCTAACATTTCTCACAGATACAGGCTCATTTACAGTTACAGGTTCTAATACAGCAGTTACTGTATTTTCATAAATAGTATAAGGTTCACTATTGAAATTTGCAATTCTCATTGGAAAATGGCCATTTTTTGGACTAATTAAAGATTTTGCTACTAACAACCCTGATTTTTCAGCAAAACTTAAATTTGGTTCTATCAAACAATCCCTATCTCGACTCAAGCTGTCCAACGGTTTCCCTTCTACAATAACTTCAGTTTCAGGGGGAATAACTATGGTTTCAGTTACTGCTATTCTACAACAATTGACAGGTGCATCTTTCTGATTCATAAAACATGGGATTCTCTCCCCTTTCAGAGTAATGTACCCTTTACTCAACATTATATCACAATTGTGCTTAAACAGAAAATCTAATCCAATAATGGCAGGTTGCTTTATATCAGCAATCAAAAACTCGTGAAGTATTTTTTGTTTACCTATACATATTTCTATTTCTGCCTTTCCATGAAAAGGTGATGTTTCACCAGTAACCGTATGAAGTGAACATTGTACAGCTTCAATAACTGGTCTAGTTGAATAAGGCCAATTTTGAACAGTTTCTTTACTTATTATGCTAACATTAGCACCACTATCAATAAGCATAGTCAAATCACATTCATTTATGGTAGCAGAAAGAAAGTATCCATGGTCAGAACCTAAATTATTTAATGCAATTTGGGACCTTTTTGATTTGTCAAGCTGCGATCCCCCCAGCTGGACTTGTTTGAGTTTCCCTGGTAAGTTTGGTTAAACCTTTGTTGATCATTACTTCCAAAAGAATAATTATTGTTTTGATATCCTCTATTGTTTCTATTATTGCCGTAAAAACCATTATTATGAAATCGGTTTTCATTTCTGTGATATCTAGGTCTGTTTTCATTTTGACGCCTATTTCTATACTGATTTAAACTTTGGTTCGATAGTTGATTTCTATTACCCTGATTCTTGTGCCAACTACTAGGTTGTCTACTTTGACTACTTATCTGCTCTTGACCCATATTTGTTGATTTAGACACAGTATTTTCTTTGTCACTACTTACATTATCTACTGCACAGACAAACTTATTTCTATTTCGATCAGCTAACCTATGGGCTTCCATGCGCACTGCTATTTTTTCAGCTTCAGAAATAGTTTTTGGAGCAATTTCACGCAACCTTAAACGTATGTCAGAATCATTTAACGCATCTATGAAACTATCGAGTGACAAAGCCTCGACCACATCTTGGCTACCTGTGGGATAAGCTAGCCTAGTCATTTTTCTAATGGACTGAGCCATTTCTGGAATGGTCTCCCCTTTTCCACGAACACGACTCTTTAACTGGGTTCGAAATACCTCGGCTTTATTTTCTGTCCCATACCTTGCTTTTAGTTTTTCTTCTAATGTACAAAAATCACGCCTACCGCTTTCACTCATTTCGCTTAAAAGTGACCGAGCCCCACCTGTTAAGCTACTTGCAAGATATAATGATTTCTGGGTATAGTTCCAACCATTTATTTCGGTAGTAATTTGAAACTGTGCAAGAAAATCTTGCAAGTCTTCATCTCCACTATAAGTTTGGGGTTTCATTTTCAAGTTATTTGTGCTTCTAGGTACTGACAAATTTGGGTAATTAGGTACAGTCTCATATACAGACGATCGAATATACGGCCCATTTTGAAGACAATTATTATTTTCTGCCTCATATAAGTTTTGTTCTTCAAAATTGTTAGAGTTCCCTGTCGCCCTATGATTAAATCTTATTTCTGGGTCAGGATGTTCTATTTCAGACAATTTCGACTTAACAGTACACAATTCATTTTCTACACTGTTCATTTGCTTTTGCAATTGTGAATTTACATTTTGAATAGTTTGACCCAAACAGGTAATCTTATGTATAATCTGTGACATTTGGCTTCCCATATAATTTTCAAGATCTTTTAACTGGGAGTTTTCATTTTCTACTGGTTGAATATCATGGTTAGGTGAGCAAACAGAACTATTCTCATTCATACTAGTATTAATACTAGACATATTTCTATCATTACTGACATTTTCATTGGACGAGACAATTCTTGAGGCATTACCTCCAAAATCATAAGCAGATGAATACTCGTCCATTTTACTATATTAAATATTGATAATATAAAAATCTCTGATACTTATAAAATTGTATATTAGTATAAAAATTAATTTACATTGTAATTCTTATCTATTTTCAGAAAGAAATATCAACACTGTCACTGATCCGGTCAACATAAAGAAATACACTGCTGTTTATTGTACAGTTCAATCAATAAATTAACTGATCAACTTACTGTTCATTTTCTGTAATCCAGAATTCATGGATATCGATATTTGGCGCTATTGTATCTTCCAATCACACACATCAAAAAAAAGTAAAATAAACCGGTCAAGATTTTAATCTATTTCTTATTTAGACCTACAAAGATGGTGTCTCATTATCATTGGATTTCCAAACTTCAATTCTATAGATCTCTCGACAGATCCCACTTCTGACACCAGATGTTACGCCCCCTTAAAAGTGAGAAAAGGGTGTTAGCTTAAAGCTAGTCAGGATTTAAATATATGCCAGGCGTTAATAAGGGGAAAGTAACATGTGTGGGAGTTAGATTTGGTTCTACCTACTGAGAGATAAATAAGACATGTTCCAGTTCAATCTATGATTTTATTATTGGTTCATGATAGTTTATTCATGAAATATTAACATACAATATTAGTTAATCTGGCTTTAACCAGATTGTTCTATAGTAAACAACTGAGCTAATTAGAGAAACATTTATGTAGATCTAGTACTATAATATAATATCCGAGTTCCAAGTATATAGTTAATTATAGATTTACCAGATTGGGTCAAGTCAGAATCCGGTCAAGTTCCAGATTGGGTCAAATACCAGATTGGGTCAAGTTCTAAAAATGGGTTCAAGTTAAGTTTATAATACCAACTTTAGAGTTATATAAAATTGTATAAAGATCCCAGATCAGTGACAGGTTAAATGTTTATAATTATATTTGGGTACAAACCTCCTGATTGGAGTACATTTCTTACGACTGGTTGGTAAAGATCTTAATGCCCAACTGTCTATGATAGGTTAACCCAGTAGCTTAAATAGAATAGGAGCGCGCGACCCAGTACTTGTGACGTCACTCGCTACCCGAAGTATATCGTGGTGAACGGTGAAGACTACTTGGAACTCGTATATCTCAATAAATACAGAGAGTTAAAAGCTAAAATCGGTCTCAAAATGGAGCTAAAAATTAGTTTGATCGACAGAAAACAAAAATACAGGTTGTCAATCAGTATTATTCGTGAAAACATCGATAAAGCTTGGACTAGATCGGGATCATGAGACGCTTGACGAGACGGCAAACAATTCCATAAAATTAAAGCGTCCCGTGACTTTGTAAGACACAATACACAATTTGACATGTTCATAGCATTATTTGCTTTGTGTACATAGCATTTCAAGTGAGTTAAATACGGTTCTAAAGAGCGTAACAATGATGCACTTTACATAAGCTTTTATGAACAGACTCAGTAGAGCAGAGTCTGCAAGCATTATTTGCTTTGTGTACATAGCATTTCAAGTGAGTTAAATACGGTGCTAAAGAGCGTAACAATGATGCACTTTACATAAGCTTTTATGAACAGACTCAGTAGAGCAGAGTCTGCAATCATTGTCAATAATTTGATTGATGTCACTGCTCTGGAGCGGTCTCTTCTAATACTGCACATTTGTTAGGACGATTTTTATAGGATAATCATGACGATTATATTATCATGAATAAATATGGCTGCAGCAAATCTAACATGTAATTTTATTTCAATCAAAGAAAGCATTTATGCTGTGTAATAAATTTGTTATAAACTTTTTTGACAGTTGATATGGTTATGTATAAACAGTTGTTGGCTATTACATAACCGTTTTCGGGTCATATAGTCAAATACTCTTCACAATAAAAATGTAACATAGGGTAAGACGGAGCCAAGCGGAGTGAAAATTGTTGTATTTGTCATTTAGGTTTCGGGAGCAAGGGAATTCATTTAGTTAAAACATATTTTATTTCTCAGAATATATATACATGTTACAATTTACAATGTACAGAGAGCAATTCAAATATTCTTAAAAACTGGATTAGAATGAAAGACAACATTTCTTATGAAATTCTTCTCCTAAGTGAGTACTAGACATGTAATAGGCGCTTAAATAATTACATATTTTATAATCTGAGACGAATATGATATAAAAAATACAAAAATCACGAGTTTATATTAGAAAAAAAGAAAACACAGAATTTGATATGTATTTAAATGCTTTAAGAAACATAGTATATGTTCCATTGAATATATTTAGAATGCATATATATTTAGAATGAATACATTAATGGATCGAATTAACATTTAAATTAATATTATCATACAAAGTAGTAGTTCTGGCTTCCAAAACTTTATAAGCCGCTTTTTAACATTTTTGTTTTTCATCTGATGCGGCATTAAAGTTTTGGATTAGACCCGTTACGAAACCTAACCAGAATAACATAAGTTGATTTATTCTTGTTTTTCACTTGCAAATACACTTGACCCAATCAATTCTTGTGCATTTTACGATAAAACAATAATTTTAATATCATTCTATACCAATTAAAGTATCAAAATATTAATACCGTCATTAAAATTGCCTATTTAACTGTAAAATATCAATTTACGCCGACTACAGTTGGCCATGACATTCAGGTGCCACGCGAGATCTCGTATGACGTCATTCGCGGGAACAGATTTGAATAGAGTCGTGTACTATATTTAGAACATTTTGTTGACATGATTTCGATACTTTTATTCAAGATAATGTTTTTATTTATTTTCATTAATTTTTTAGTACTTAAGTACGATTGTATTGAATATAAAACTCAGTAAATCACCTTTTTCAATATCTTTAAAAAAAGTAATTTATAAAAATATTGGAGGCACATGGGTTCGTAAAGGTCAATCTCGTAATCACGTGATCAAACATTTTGGCAATATGGCGGCCAAGTGCCGAAAATTTTACCTGTCGGAAACTATTAGGTAGTTTATGTTCGTAATAAGATTTTTATTTGTCCATCCTTGGCTTATCAACAGATTATATATAGTTTTATCAAGGTATGCTTCACTTTACTTCATGGCATGTTCGATGAATAAATACGAGCGTGTCAGATTCCTGGCACGATTATTGGTGGACTTTCCCTATGGGGTTATCTTCAGCGTTCACGTCATGTCATAGTATATAAACGGGTACGCTGAAGACCTTAAGCTAACAAAGTAGAATAGTATTTGAAAAGAACACAGAAAGGTGAAAAGGTAGTGAAGAAGGAGAATGATAAATAACGAGGTATAAAGTATAGGAATATAATGATTTAGTGTTTGGGTGTTAGATAAATCTTTTTGTCTCTTGGATGTAAGTGTGTACGTGTGAAAAAATTATGTCATTAGTTTGGTCAGAAAGGTCTGGGTTGCCTAAAAGTAGAACTATTAAATCAATGTCAATTTTTTTCAAATTTCGAAGTAACTTTTGTCGAGCTGTGTCAAATTGTGTACATTCGAAGAAGATTATTCCATTTCCTTATTGCAGTCGGGAAAAAGAGTTAAAATAAAGTGTAGTTCTTGCATATATTCCCGGAATATTGTCAATATTTCTTAGGTTGTACCTATCATTAGTTGATGTTGGGAGAATTGAGAAAAGATAATCTGGAGCTAGTCCGTTTTGGATCATTCTATGAATATATCGTCTTTCTTCGAGAGATTCCCAGTTTATTTCATTTGAAAGATTTTCGAGTGAAACAAGTCTTGTACATCCGGAAGCAATACGAGCACATTCTGTTTGGATTTTGTTAAGTTCGTCTAATTCAAAATTTGTAGCATTTCCCCATATAACATCAGCATATTCAAGTAATGGACGAATGAAAGAAGTGTAGATTGTATCTAGTGATTTTCTATCTAAGCGAGTTCTCATAATATTTACCCTATTCCATGCTTTATTTGTTATATAATCTATATGTGCCATGTGCAGTTATTCGAAATTAAAACTCCAAGATGTTTGTGGTCAGAAACTTCAGAAATAGTCTGATTATTTATTTGTAGTTCTTGGTGTTGATTTGGATATCTCTTTCTAGAGATTAATAAAGACTCAGATTTATAAGGATTAAATGAAACAAGCCATGTATCTGCCCATAATGAAATTCTGTCTATATCCGACTGTAATGTGATAGCAGCTGTTTGTGGATTTTCAACAACAAGATAAAGACTAGTATCATCGGCGAATAAATTGATACAAGATCTTATATCTTCAACAATATCGTTAATAAATATGAGAAAGAGAAGAAGACCAAGAATTGAGCCTTGGGGAACACCAGCTGAAAGATAACCAATAGACGATTTAGAATTAGAAAGGACAACACGTTGTTGTCTATCTTTTAAATATTCGAGAAACCAAGAATAGACCTTTCCAGAAATTTCAGCATGTTTCAATTTAGTAAGTAAACCCTTGTGCCAAACCTTGTCGAAAGCTTTACTAATGTCAAAGTAAATAACTCGTACTTTTAGGAAATACATTTCCTTTAATAACAATACAAGTACTATTGTTTCTGCAATTTTAGAAGCAAATAAAATAGTCTGCAATTCGTACATGCATTCTTTACAGAAATTGTCTCCAATTCATTTTTGTTTTCATTGCTCCTGGAATCTGGGGTTTAATTTTATTATATGAAACAAAATCTAAAAGAAAGATATTTATCTTTATTAAGAGAAGAAAGATATGTATATATCTTATAAAACTTTCCGAAAAAGAATAAATTTCGTATTTCAAACATGTTAAACTAGCGTGAAATAGACACAATGCCTCAATGAAAATGTACCATACTTGCGTTATTTTATGTTTACAGGCAAAGGCATTCAGAATTCAAATGTCTGAAATGAAGGAAAACAGTTGTTCTGACCTTTCATATTAAAATGTAAACATAATCTTAAAAGACAATTACGTGCACAAAATGTTTAGTCTTTGGTCATTTATTTTGCCCATTTAATTGGTTTATTTGCGTTTATTACATTGCATTACATCTTAATAAAGTAATTTAAAAGCAATGACCGTAAATCAAAATCAAAATTGAAAATAATTTGTTCCTTAAAAGTACCCAAAAAATCTTCTTCTTTTCTTCCCAAAATTTTCTACTGAAAATTTCATATTTTCTTTTCCAATCAAGTGATATAATTGCACATGTATTCCTTTAAAAAGTGGCGCCATTGTCAGCCATTTTAGAATTTGTCGTTTCTATTTGCCTTTTAAATTGACTTGGTTAATGAAAAACGATCTTTTCTATAGATATATTGATATATATGATGTTTTAGTTTTGATGTATTTTCAAAAAAAATCTTCAAACGTCTGTATAAATGATATGGTTAATCCTCATTAAATACCGAGTGTTTTTGTTGTTTTACTGATTGTTTAATTAAGTACATGTACTATTACATGTGTATTTTATATATTCTTCCACAAAAGTTATATAAGCATTTAAATTCATATATCATCCATAAATAATAATTGCATGATGATTACTTCAAATTTTCTCTACATTCAATTTAGATATATTGAAAGACTAACTCTTTTTAAAGGTTTGTATTTTGAATTTCACATCCGCAATGTGCTCTACCTCGAGAATTTTGTTAATAGTAGCTCATGTCTGAAATGCTACTTGCTGAATTTTATATGTTACTTATCAGTAACAAAGAGCTTGAATTGCTGTTTCGAACCATGGATATCGTAAATAATCTTTTACTGCATTACTGGTACCCTCATTATCTTTTTTGGACGTGTGCAGCTTATTCCTCTATTTTTGTCCTGAAACATGCAACATATGAAACAGTTATTACTTACCTCTAAACTAGCACATGTTATGACGTGCAAAAATGTTTTTCATTCAAATATCTTGCAAATCTTCTAGTAATTTATCTAATATTTGTCTGCAGTAAAAAAGTTGGTTTACTTTAATTGTTTGCAGGAGCCCTTCCCATTTTAAATAACTGAAACACATGTGGGTTCGACGTCATCTTTTTATGTATTTTTCTTTTAGTACGGATGAAAAGTTATTCTATCTAAATGTTAAAAGCGTTAGCATCTTAAAAAGTAGCAAAGTAAATGAACTCAAATACAAATTTTCAGACTAAAACAAAAGGACACATTCCACTAGGAAATGTCACTCTATACTATCAAACTGTGCATGAAGTTGAATCAACGGACATTGTATGTGAGGACGATAACTTGGTTTATATATACATTGTTTTTGTAAATGTTTTTTATCAGATATACGTTTCTCATCTTTTACACATATTTGTTATAGTTTCTCTAATCATTTCTTTATGACGGAACAAAAGCAAACAAATTGAATGCAATTTGTCTTCATTAGATT